ACCAGTGCAGTGAGGAGAAAGTAGCAACGCCCAACTGCTGACAACAGAAAAATGGTTTTTTGGGTTTTCGCAACTCAGTTGGTTCAGGCATACTCAAACACAGCCCATGAGGTGTTCTCCACATCCACATCATTCCAGTGTGAAATTAATCAGATTTGGAACCCAGTTTCCTTCTCCTATTAAGGACTAATGTCTGCCAGAGCTGCCAAGATTTTGGGGTGGATGCAAAACTTCCCTTGTCTGAAAACACTGTGGGACCATCAGACGCTGCTCCAGCTCTCCTGAGACATTATTTATCACTGCCCTCTGTTTGACGGAAAGTTGGATTGGTGCTTCCCTCCTTTCTCCTGGTTTTGCCAGATGGCACAGGTGACCTGACAAAGGGGAATGTCACCAAAGGCGAGGGACAAGTCCCCTCTGTCCAGGTGCTGATGCAGAAAGAGCAAAGGTGTGACTAGGCTGTGACCCACATAAGTGTCCTTTGGCATGAAGCACCTTAAATTGACTCTAAGGTGATTAACAGAGCAGAATTAGCACAGTGAGCCAGGGGAATTAAGGGCAGGGAGCTGTCCTTGAGCCAATCCCATGGCTCCATCTGCCAGAGGGAAGCCTGCAGCCCCAGAACCAGAGAGGGAGCAGAAAGTAGAAGCATTAGCAGAGTTAAAAGCTCAGGATGTTCTGTGTGCTCACATGGATATCCCTGGAAGCTCTGTGAGCAGCACAGGACTGAGTGCTGGGGTTTGCACTGCAAAGCTTCCTGGGGAACACCTCCACCTTCAGCTTCCTTCTCCCAGCTCCCCTCTCTGGCACAGTCCCATGGGGAGCTGTTTTGGGATTCTACTTCTGCACAAATGGCTTTTCCATCACTGGAGTCACTTGTAAATAACCAGATTTGTATCAGTGGCTCAGCTTTTCCTGTGCAGCTATGTTTTCTCCTACAAGGGGAAGCATTTCAAGATTAAGCCAAACAAAAGCTAAGGAGTGCCTCTTCTTTCCTAAACCTTCCCTGCTGTCCCTCTGCTCCATCACTCCAGCCAGTGCTATGTCATCTCCTGAGCCAGGGCACCACTGGCAGCTCACATCTATCACAGAATCCCAGAATGGTTTGGGTTGGAAGGGATCTCAAAGCCCATCTCATTCCAAACCCCTGCCATGAGCAGGGACACCTTCCACTGTCCCAGGCTGCTCACAGCCCCATCCAACCTGGCCTTGGACACTTCCAGGGATCCAGGGGAAGCCACAGCTTCTCTGGGCACCCTGTGCCAGGGCCTCACCACCCTCACAGGGACGGATTTCTTCCTATATCTCATCCAAATCTAACCTCCTTCATCTTAAGGCCATTCCAAAGCCATTTTCCCTTCTTCCCATCACATCCAGCCCACAACCAGGCTGAGTCTCATTCTCTCTCCGTTCCCATTCCCTCCTAATCCACTCCCAAAGGAGGTGAAACATTCTCTGGAAGTTATATAAACCAGCACAAAGTCCAGCTGCCTTCTCAGCCTGGCTAAAGTCAACTTTCCAGCTCAGCCCAGTGAGCCTTGCACAAACATGGGAATATTGACATGACAAACAGCAAATCTGACCCCTTGGCTCCCAGCACTGGTGGCACCACAGGGATTTGCTCCTATTAGGAACGGGTTGCCTTGGCAGAGCTGGCCAGCCCCAGCCGTGGGTGCCACGTGCACACTGAGAGTTGTGCCAGGACATCTGACTTTTTCTTGGCAGGGCCACACTCCCTGAATGTCCAAAATGACTGGAATTTCCCCATGGCTGGCCCAGAGCTGCCTGTTCTGCAGGGAATCCTCTCTGCTTTGATGGATTCATCCTACAGGACGGTCAGGAAAGCATGGGAAGTCCTGACTTTTCCGAGGCCAGCTGCTCTTTTCTTTGATTGCACCTGGAGCAAATAATAAAAAAATGAAAATCTTTCATTTGTTGGTTCCTGGGAACAGGAACCATCCATCTCTATGTGTGGGCGTGTGGGGACAGCCTGACCAGCTGCACAAAGACAGCCTGATCTACAGCCCTGAGCAAACTTGGAGTAATTCCACAGGCAGGGAAAGGACGCAGCCAGCAGACACAGGGAACTTCCAGGGGCAACCAAACCTCTGTAGTCTAAATCCCAGTTTCTCCAGTAATAATAATATCCAAAGGCTTAGAAGCACCTCATTGTGCACAACACTAACCTCCACCATCATCCAAATATCCCTTTTCTCTCCCAAACTTGAGGGAAACAGGGATGAAAACAAAATCAAGCAAGTCAAACACATCTATAAAAGCAGATTTTTTTAACTCCCATCCCTTTGAAGCTCTTTATTTCAGCCCAGGACAGGCTGGCAGACCCTTTGTGGGTGCAAATAGGTGCAAGGAAGATTGCAGAAGGTACCAGAGGACCCAGAGACTCTGCTCAAACCCCGGCTGATTTATGAGGGGAAAAAGAGCAGGAAAGTTTTGGTGGAAACGGCTGGGAATAGGGGACATGATGTCTTCTCATACCTTAGAAGCTTAGGTGCTAATGTCACAGGGAAGTTTCTGACAGCAATCCTTGCTGACATTCCACTGAAAGACCCAGACACAGGAAAGCATTCCCAGTGTCTCACCTGACCATCCCTTACAGAAATCTAAATCCTTCCTTTCCTTTCCCTTCTCCAGCTGCCCAATTCCCTCTCCCAGCAGCGCAGGGAAGCTGCAGGAATGTTTTCCTGTCAAGAGGCTGCAGGGAGGGTGAGGAGGGGTGGGACCTGGAGATGCTCCATTCTCCCAGGGAGGGAATGAGGGAGGGAGGACAGTCCCTGCCTGGGCTGCCTGTGCCCTCTCGTGGCTGCCTGACTGTGCTGCACAACCAGATTCTTGCATGGCTTTTTAACTGAAAATGAAATTAAATCCCTTTCTGCACAAAGCTCTCCCACTGACGTCATCTCTCAGAGGGGATGAGATCTTCCATGTTCATGTGCAGAGCCGAGCAGGGAGGAGAGCAAAAGGTTTTAGCGAAACCAGAGCAACCCAAAACCTCTGCCTGCTGAGAGGAGAAGGGGGAGACTGATCAGGAAAGAGGAAGGAAGAAGACCCTCCAATTACCCAGCACCCGTGCAGTGCTTCAAGCAGCAATTGAAAGGAGACACAACCTCCAGGAGCAGGAGAAGCCTCAGCCTCCCTCAGGAAGAACACGTACCTGCTCTGATGAATAAAAGCACCCCAAACCCCATCCTGTAGGATTTTCTCTTGCACCCCAACCCTCCAACTCCAACCAGGCTTGTAGAGGTTAATAGCAAATATTTATTTTCCTTTATGAAAGAGCAGGGTGCAACCATCCCGCTGCAAAGAGAGTGACTTCATTTTCCTTCACAAATTGTTCTCTGCTTTGAAATGCAAGACAACCTCAGACAAGGCATTGCTCCAGTTCCTTCTGTCTCAAAGTGCTTTTCAATGTGACACCAAGGGGGAAAAAATATCCCACAAACCAAAACATCTCCCAGCCAGAGAGATCATCTCATTCCCAGTGCTGCAATGTTTGTGCAGTGTAGCAGCTCACGGCACAGGAAGACATGGAAAGATTAGAAAGGATGGGGGAAGAGATGCAGGGAGAAATTCCAGGGGTGGAATTCATCTGAGCTGAAATCCACAGCTGGGAAAACCAAAGCTGTGTTATTTCTCTCTCCCCTAGACAAAATCCAGCAGCTCAGTGGAAGAAAATTGAGTTCCTCCTGTAATGTCCTTCAGGAGAGTATGGAATTATGGAGCTGAGGGTGGCAGGGGGACAGGGTGACAACCCTGTCAGGAATGGAAACCCCAGAGTGGGTGATGGCTGAGCTGATTCCAGAGTCACTGAAAAAAGGCTACAAAATACTGTCACGGCTTTAATCAGCCTGGGTCTGGGCTCAGGATGTGTCGGACCTGTGCATTCCTACAGCTCCAGTGACATTCCTCCCTCACAGCACATTTTGGGGCAGGCAGGAACCTCAGCCACATTCCTCATTGCACAAAAAGAGGTCTCAGATTCCCTCACCAGGGAATGGCAGCCCAAGAAAAGTTGTGATTCCCAGTGGACAGGCATCTCTAGGTCTGATGTAACACTGGGAAGGAATCTCTGGGCTTTGAGACTGCTCAGCCTGGGCATGCCCCTCCTGAAGACACAAAGAACCCAACCTGGGGCAAGGGCTCTGCCTGAAGAGTGAGAACAGGACTGCCCAAAGCTCCCTCAAGAGCAGGAACAGCTCCAAGACTTGTTTGTCAGAGAGGTTTGTGTTTAGGAGCATCATGGGGGACTTCACACCAGGGACTGTCACTGCATCTGCCTCTGACAACTCCAGCAGATTCCCTAGTCCAGGGGAAAAAATCCTGCAGCTTGCTGGGAGCTAGGGAATTTCTCTGCTCCCTTTCTTCTGCTGAAGGCCCCAGGTGCACAGCTCCAGCCATTCCCCAGCCTGCACAACCCAGTGGCAAACATCCAGCTAAAAACAGGAACAAATCCCTCTTTGTGACTCCGTTGGCAACAAGCTTCTCTCGCAGGCTCCTTGAAAAGGAACAAGGAAGTACTTGGAAACAAACTGTTCAAGATTATTGTGCTCTGCTGGCATTTTCAGGGCTGCTGTGGTCAGCAGGACCTCAGGGACAGCACCCCCTCCATCCCAAAAAAACGAGTGGAACAGACAGCCAGCATCTGTCCTGACAGACTGGCTCACAAGGAAGGTCCAGAATTCCCACCCTGCACAGGCCTGGCCTCGGGTTATGCCAAAGCAGGCTGCATATAAAAACAAAAGGTTAAAAAATATGGATATACACTGCATACAGGAGACTCCAGAGTCCATGGATGGCCATCCTGGAGCAGCCAGGGCCAGCCCAGCTCCAGGGGCAGCGTGGCAGCTGCATTCCAGTCACACTTGGAGGAGTGGGACAGCTGAAGGTGAAACTTGTGCCTCTTGTTCCTTGCTCCAGGCACAGGGAAGGGAGGGAGGGAGGGAGGGAGCAGGACAGGCACTGCACTCCAAGCTCCTGACAGACTGGCTCACAAGGAAGGTCCAGAATTCCCACCCTGCACAGGCCTGGCCTCGGGTTATGCCAAAGCAGGCTGCATATAAAAACAAAAGGTTAAAAAATATGGATATACACTGCATACAGGAGACTCCAGAGTCCATGGATGGCCATCCTGGAGCAGCCAGGGCCAGCCCAGCTCCAGGGGCAGCGTGGCAGCTGCATTCCAGTCACACTTGGAGGAGTGGGACAGCTGAAGGTGAAACTTGTGCCTCTTGTTCCTTGCTCCAGGCACAGGGAAGGGAGGGAAGGAGAGAGCAGGACAGGCACTGCACTCCAAGCCCTTCCTCCAGGAGCAGTTTCCTCCACACCCAGGGCTCTGCTTACATCTCGCTGGGATAAAATCCAAGTTTGGCCAGAGACATCTCCCTCCGGAGCCGCATGACCTCCCAGTACATCAGCTCCACTGCAAAGCACAACGGGGGCAGAGAAGGGGAAAAAAATCACCAAAAAATCAGTAAGGAGGGCACAGCTGGCCACCAGCTCCTGCTCTGCTGTGCTCCCAGCATTCCCAGAGTGGAGGGAAGCAGCACAGGCCCATCAGGACACCCCTTAGCAGCTCCACCCCTGAGCAAAGCTCCCAGGAAGCTGATAAGGAAGGAAGAGATGCTCCCCTCATGCCTCTCTTTTGTCACCTATCTGCTTCTCAGAGACACCCCCAGCCAACCCCACTCCTGTCACTCCAAACAGCTCCTCCCAATTCCTCCCAGCTGCCTCCACAGAAAGCATCCCCCTGGAGCCAGCTCTTACCATCCTGCCTCACCAGGCCTTGCTGGATGTAGCGGATGTAGGTGAAGAAGTTGCACACTGCTGTGATCTGCGTGACAGAGAGAAAGAGGGGGAAAAAAAAGGAACGAAGATTTTAGACATTACTTCGGTGCAAGTGGCAAAAATGAGTCAAACCCGTGCACAAAAACCAACTTTTTGTGGGATCAGCTCTTCAAAAATGCAGCTCAGGAAAGAATTAACTTCCAAAATCCTCCACTGAACAAGAGCCCCAACAGCAACATTAACAAATGATTCACCTTCTCCCTCCCCTCCACAGAAAGGACAGTTTGTTCCCACAGCCAGGCACAGATCAGACTGGAACTGCAACAGCCTCCAAAGAGCAGAAAATGATTGTGTTTTACAAAGGGGAATGAAATAATAACAATAGAGCCAAACAATCAAAGCTCTGTACTGAATGAAATCATGGCAAGTGAACACACTGAAGATTATCTGAAAGCAGAAGGAAGAGCTGGATCTGCCCCCTAATCACCAACTAAGAGACACCTCAACCTCAAGAATGACCTCAAATCTCAGTTTTTCCTCAATTCCAGGGCTGACCCTCAGGAACACTGCAGGGCATGGAATGATGTGGGAAGGTCAAGGCACTGACCTTGACCTTCACTGAGGTGAAGGACTCACCCTGGCCCTGCAGGAAGGGGAAATATAGTAGTAATTCCCAGAATCCCCCAGCATGATCCGGTGCTTGCAGGTCCTGGGGAGGCCACTCAGAGCGCATTTCCTGCAGGAAAAGGGAAAAGCACTTCAGCAATCCAGTGGCACAGCACAGATCCAGCAACTGAGCCACCTGGAGATGGAAGTGAGAGATCAGAAGCCACCCCTGGGTCAGACAGTGTGAAGAAGGAAAAAAAAAAAACCCTTGGCTGATATTCTTTTGCTCCTGGAAATATTCCATAAATGGCAAGTTTAGGAGACTTTAGGTGAAAGCACCTTTTCCCTGACACACAGCCCCAGAGGAAACCACAGGAAATAAATATTAAAGAGGTGAGGCTGGAGCAGAGCCTCAAAGTCCCCTGGTCTCTGCACATGTCCCCCACATTCCAGGGCAGGCTCAGGTGTATCAGCTTTCCTGGTGAGATGTAAACACGCTGGCTGGGCACCAAAGCTGGCCTCAAAACAGGTAAATCCAGCATCTGAGCAGGATTTGCACATACCAAGAACTCAAAACAAGCCAACACCTCCTTGGGCAGACAGGAAAGGAGCTTGGCTTCCCAATTTTGAGATTTCAGAGGGTGAAAACAGTCTTTTCCATACAATCATCAGCAAGGGGTACAGCATTCCTTTATTTTCTTCCCTCTTCTCCTGCTATTTGCAAGGCAGATGATTCCCATCACCACTTAAAGCAATAAAGCACAATTTACTAGTGCACAGTTATCACCATGTTCCTCAGGGACTCAGGAGGAAGAGGAGCATCACAACCAAACTGCAAAACCTCTTCTCTGGGGAGCCACAGGAGGTGACAGCAGAGGGGAGCAGATGTTTCAGAGAGCTCCTGACCTTGTCCCTGGGCTTGTTTTCCACTGCTCTCAAGGCAAACATTAGCCAAGAGTGGAAGCACGGGTTCCAAGTGTCCAGATGCAAGGAGAAGTAATCATTTACCAAATATTAACACAACCTAAGGAGACTGAATTCCCAAGAGGTGCAGGATGACCAAAAACTTTGTAAACAAGATACCTGTAAGGAGCCACATATTTGAGCATTGCAACATCCTGGAAAAGAGTGACTCTTGCTTGATTGGTACCACTTGGTGCAAAACCACAGCTATCACAACCAAACAAACCATAATTGTCATAAAAAGCAGTGTTTTGCATCTGGGAAAAAAGGGAACAAATTCCTTTTGGGTCTTTTATTGCCGATGGGCTCCTTCCCATCCTGCCTGGGTGGAATTTAGACAGAGTTAAAGGGTTAGGTCAGCTGAGCAAAAACCTCCAAGCAGCCACATGGCGCTGAGTTAGTGACTTGTTAATGCTCCAGAGACCTTTGATCACTGGCTGAACAATAAATATTTCACTTATGTTACGATTTGTGACCGGAAGCCACTGTGAAGACAAAAAAAAATTTAAAAAATCAAAAGGAAACCGATAAACACAGGATGGGTTGTTTGGGGAATCATTTGCAGGAAAGTGGTAGGAAACCTGCACGTCCCTTCTGTCACAGGGACACCTCAGAAGGAAAGAAAGGACTTAAATTTAATAACTGAATAAAATCCCTCCTCCTGGTTTGGAATATCACATCATTCCCACTAGTGGGAGGTGGCCCCAGGCTGCCTGTCACACCACTCCATGACAGGGGACAAACCAGCAGCAAGGACGGGACAAGGCAGGGAGACACGGTCCTTACTTGGGGCCACCACACTCTTCTGCTGCCACCTTCCCCACAGGGACAGCCTGGGAAGCCACTGGCTCGATGGTCAGGGTGTTCTGCTCCACTGCCTCTCGCACCAGCTCCGACAGCTGCAGCAAAACAAGGGAGAGCAGAAATGAATTCCAGGAGGGTAACACTCCAGAGCTGCCAGCTGCTCCTGCTTCTCCAGCACTCACCTCCTGCTTGGTGAAGTCCAGACAAGGTCCTACATCTTCTCGGTAAATTCTGTCCAGGAAGGAGCAGGATTTGTCCAAAGTTGGAGATTCCTTCCAGGCCTGGAACTCGGCAAATAAAATGGAGTCGACCTGCAGCGAGCGTCCAAGAGGAGCAGGAAGAGGGAGGAACACCTTGTCAGAAAGTACCTGATACTATGCAGGAAACCCATGAACATCAGCTCTGGCAGCTGGAGAGGCTCAGACATCACGTAAGTGTCTGAGGGAAGCTGCCTGGCTCCAAGGATCTCTCACGTCCCACCCAGCAGCAGTTCTGTGCCAGAGTGACACAGCCACCCTGGGCTGTGTGTGCCAGAAGCCTGCAGGCACCTCTCTATCCCATTTTCCTCCCGGTGGCTTTTCCTCCTTCCTGTGGCTGCAGGAAAGCCACCACACAACCACTGAATAGACAAAGTGCACGCTCAACCTGTGGCAGGAATGATGAGGGGCAAGAGGAGACTCTGTGGGATCTGGCATTTAAATCCCAGATGATGACTGGGCAAACCACCAACCTGACTGACAGAGCAGCTCCTACAAGCCCAACAAAAGCTTCTGAAAGGAAAGAAATAAAACTAAGCTGAGCAACACAAAGAACATGAGTGAATGCAGCTGGAAAAGTCCAGATTCCAGCACATCCCCTCTGTGCTATGGAGACTGCTCACCTGGGACCAGCAACAGCTTCAGAGCCACAAGATGGAAAAAAAATAGAGAAAAACAAAATGAAAGGAAAAAAAATGGAGATTAGCATAAAAGGAAGCTGGAACTGAAAGGCTGGAAGCGTGAGAGGCAGGTGGGTCCCACCCATTCCCAAAGGTTGGTTACCTGCCGTGAGGAAGAGGAGAAGGAGGAAGCATCTGCTCCCAAGGCCTGCCAGCCTGGCTCATAGGTGATGCGGATAGCCTTCCCAGGGAGGATGCAAAGGAGCAGGGAGAGGAGAGCAGGGAAACCAGACTTGGAGGGCAGAGGGAGAGACAGACAGTGAAGGAAGAGGTTTAGAGAGACAGGCAAAGAGGGAGGTAAAAAACATGAGATACAGAGAAAGGCTCAAGTCCTCCCCTGCAGGAACTGAGCATGGTCCTCCAGGCACCACAGGGCCACAAGTCACATCTTTAGACTTCAGTCTGAGGTGCAGAAAGGGAACAGGAATTACCATTTTTAGGCCAAATTTAAGATCTTTCCCATAGAGTACCAACTCTCTGAATGCCAGGTTCCCTTTTATCACCTCTCACATAAGAATTCTGAGGGACAAAAAACCATCCCATCCTCGATACATAACATTGGGCACTCTGGAGGCTGAGCCCTGAGACATGAAACCCCAGGAGATCTGCACCCTGTGGAAGCTGCCTCCATGAAGAAATGACAGATCCGAATCTTTAACAAGCCTTTGCGTTCCCTCAACAATTCTTCACGACACAGGCTGCAGCTCCCAAAAAATCGCTAGTGAGACATATTCCTGCAGCACGTTCTTCTTCAGTTTCATTTTTCCTGACCAAGTGCCTCCTATTTGCTTCCCAGGACAGCTGTGTCCACATCTGGCTAGTGGAACTGGCTTCTGCTCAGCAGCTTTCCACATCCGCTCACAGCACTGGCACCCCCGGATCTGCCCCTCAGTAATCCCTCGACTGCTTCCTGTCCCCACAAAGAGGAAACCCCAACAAAAGGAAGCCCTCCAGTGCCTGCCTCAGCACAAATTTAGGGAACAGGGCACGAACAGCTGCTCAGTGAGACCACAGAGCTCTGCGGGAAGCTCGGAGCTCCCAGAGCGGCGGCTCCGAGGCCGACACAGCCGATGTCCCTGACCCACCTCTCTGCACTCCCGGCTGACGGGCTCTGGAGCCACGTTCTGGCTGGCAGCTGACACCATGGCACTGCTGGTGCTCTTGTTGCGCCCGTGGCCCTTCCTGAAGCCAGCTTTGGAAGGGCTCTGCAGCTGAGGGTGCAGCTCCCGGTTCGGGGAGGATGGCGTGGATGTGATCACCAGCGTCTTCAGGGCTGTCACCTCTGCCTGCAGCATGTCAATCTGGGACACAAGCAAGAGTCACCCTCAGCACAAGCTGGGCTCCAGTTTGCTGCATCCCATCGAACATTGAAACCACAGGGAAGCAGCTACAAGCCCAACCATGAAGCCTCTTCCCATCCTCCCAGTGCCACCATCACCCAGAATTTTAAACAGCAGCTGTTTGGGAATCTATTCCTTTTGTCCCAGGCTCTTTTCAGAGCTAATCACTCCAAAGAAATTTCTCTCTCCTCAAGATGGAGCCATCTGAGCAGCCCTGTGGTTCAGCCATGTCAGGAAATTCCAACTCCCCAGGTTCCTGCTCTACCCTTCCATCCCAGAGCTGTGACAATTGAACTCATTATTTCTCTGTGGATCCATTTCCCTAGTGAGAGCTGGATCAGCAGGAGACTGCAATGCAAGGATGTCTGTGAGGCCTTTTCTCTCTACTCAAGTGTCTGCTAGAAAGGGACCACAGCATCTCAGAGAGATGAAGCTGCACTTCACTCTGCTCAGCCAACAAACAGCCCTGTGGCCAGGCTGGGCAGAGATGCCACCACACCAACCCCAAAAATGAAGTCACAGAGAGCCACTCACCTTGCCCCGGGCCTCCCTGAGCTGTTTCTCTGCCGCAGCCTGTTTGGTGTTGGCTTCTCTCACCATCTTGTGGGCTTCCTGCACCAGAGAGAGTTTTAATCCACCTGCTGCACCCCAGCTCACACAGCCAGCAAGGCAGGTCCCAGATCTGCCACATCACATGTTCCAGGCAAAGGGACAGACAGACATCCCTGCCACAACCAGGAGGTTTGTTCCTTCAGCTGTGAAGAGCCTTCCCTCAGAATTTCCCAGAGAAGGCTGCTAGTGCCAAAACCTGGAGTGCATTCCATTTCCAAGAGTGCAGCTGGCTAAGTTAAGGAGTTTAGCTGGCCAAGGTCATCTCTCACTGATAGGGGCTGTTGAGAAGAATGCCAGAAGCAAGGACCTGCCTTTCCTTGCCCTTGGGAATCGCTTTGACCTTAGAACCCACCTGTTCCACACCACACCTGTGCCTGCCCCTATTCCAAGAGCTGTGACTCCAGCCTCACCTCAGCCTGGTTCCTGCAGTCACTGCAGCCTGGCTGGGTGATCCCTGCACTGGTTCCTGACGCTGACTGCTGCCTGTGGCTCTGATCCTGATCCACACTCACTGCTCCATGTCATGGTGAGGGCACTGCTCCTGCCTGCCTTGTTATTGCACTTTGCTCCTGCTTCCCTTTCAGAGCAGCTGGTCCCACTGCCCCAGGCTGGCTGTGACACAGCAGGAGCTGGAGCTCACGTGGGGGCCAAATGGTGGAAACTGGCTTAGAAGCTTCATCCACAGGAAGAGGGGAGGGGGATGCAGCCTGCTGGGGCCTCCCTGCAGTCTGGAAACAGCATCTGGCCAAGGCCACCAAAGGAAGGGGACAGCCCTTGGCTACATGATCTCCAGGATCACCCAGTGCTCAGGCAGCCAAAATTCTGGGAGGGAGTGCTTCCTTGGCTCTCACAGCCCTGCATTTCAAATGTACAGATGGGCTCTGGCTTTCCTCGTTATCCAGACATTAGAGCTGCTAGTGGACAGGATTTTGCCAGGATACAGCTTGGCAAGAATCCCATTACAACAAAAAAACACCAAAACAAAACCAACAAGCCTTCTGGACACTCACTGGAGCAGAGTAGATGAGGACATCCAGCATGTTCCCACCCCCAGCAAGGGCTGGGATGAGCCAGGGAATCATCTCTATTACAGAGCAGCTGCCCAGACTGCAGAGCAGGCATGGAGAGGGACAGGGAGCTATGCTTGGCTCCAGCTCCAGGCATTCCCACATTTTGGAACCATAACTACTGTGCTCTTTATGCCACCCCACAGCTCCTAGAAGGGGACGGAAATCCAGGTAAAGACTCCACCTGCACCACTGCCCAGCTCTGCTTTTCCAAGTGGGAAAGAACAACAAGGGAGAGGAGGAAATTGTGGGAGGAGAGCTGGAAGTCCAGGGAAAGCCTGTCTTAAAGGAGCTGGATGTAAGCTTAGCTTAAGAAATGATGGGAAAGGAAGAGGGTGGTACCTCAAACAGGCTGGCTGTTAACTCCTCCAGTTCCTGTTCCAGCTGTTCCCTAACTTTTGACAATCTCTCACATTCTTTGTCCTTGAGCTTCAGCTCCTGTTGAGGAAATAGAGAGGGATAGGAATGCTGATGTCCTGCCCCAGCCTGTCAATCACAGCCCTTCCTCCCCACCTCAGCACCTGATCCATGACCAAGATTCCTGTCACCACCTCCAGGAAAGCCCCCTCTGCTCCAACCTGTGCCACCCTCCCCAGGAGTTCCCAAAAACCCTGGGGCTCACCTTCTGTGCTTTGTGCAGCTCATCCCTCAGGAACTCCGAGCCCTTTTCCCGGATCTCCACCGAGGAGCTGCGCAGCCGGGACACGTTGAGCTGCTCCGTGGACTGGGGTTCGTGCACACCTCCAGCATCCTGGCATCCACTCTCTGCCTCCTCCTTGTCGCCTTTGGATGGCATCAGGGGCTTCCAGTGTCCCACAGTGGGTGGATTCTGGCTCTCTTCCTCAAAACTGACCTGGCTGGGGGTAACAGCACATGGAAAATGAGTGTGGGGGTGATCTAGAGCCTTCCTCCAACACTCACAACATATCCAGCCCCAGGCACGGGCAGTGGGAATGAGGCAGGGAGGGTGATGGGGAAGAATTTGGGCAGCAACAGCTGTACCTGTTCCTCTGCCCTGCAACCCTATGGAAGTGCTCTACCCTTTTGGCAGGGTGTCCACATTAACTCAGGATAATAATCAGGAGAACAAATGACAGCTCCTCCAGGATCCCATTCTCACCTGCTGTCCAAGAGAAACACCCTGCAGATAGATTTTTAGGATTCCAGAATACACCCAGTAGACCTAAGGTCAGACTTCCCTACTGAACTAGTAAAAAAGGAATACAGCTTTCCCATTCTTAATATAAAGACCCCAATCCCCTCTGCTGCCAACCCAGCCTTCTTTACCCCCTGCATCTGCTTCAGAAGGAAAAGATCTATTTTTAACTGATTTTTAACCTATTTTCCCACCTATTTCCCATAAAAATCCCCCATAGAGCTGTCTAAACCAGTGTATTTTCCCAAGCTGAGTCAAAACCCTATGTTTTAGTTTCAGTGGCCAGCAAGCAGAGATATCCTAGAAAGAAGAAACCAGAAGAGTGACCCAGGACACTGCACCCCAGTGCTCAGTAGGGCTCTGTCAGCTCCCAAATTAACACAGATGCTGAAGAAGTTTTAGGAATGGAAAACATCATATGAGTGCCTGCATGCAGGGCACTCTGTCACTGCAGTGTTTGCATTTCTCCTCTTCCTCACTGAACTCTCCCCATAATATTTCCCTCCATTTGAAGGCAGGGGCAGTGTGTCCAAGCCTTCCCCACGTGGAAGTTTTCTGTCCTGCCCAGACACAGGCACTGCCCTGCAGATTAACCTGCTGCTGCTTATCTCTGGCTCACAAGCTCTGGTGCCCTTCTCTTCGTGCACCTCCTCCCACACTCCTGGTCACTGCTCCTCACCCACCACCTCCTCCTGCAGAGCAGCCATCACCTCTTTTTGCTCAGGCTCACTTTTTCCTCATCCCTTTGCCCCATCTCTGTGTTCTCCTCTCCTGCATTCCAGCCAGGCCACGCTCTTTCCCCTTGCTCCAACTCCATACAGGCTGGGCTTATCTCCCAGAGTGTTCTATCACCTCTTCCACTCTAATTTCTCCCTTTCTGTGTCCCCCAAGCTCTCCAAGACCAACAGCTGTCCACAGCCACCTTCCAAAAAGGGAACAAAGCTGCAGCTCCCAGCTAAATCAGGTATCATAGGAAAGCAATGTGGAAAAGCACACATGGAGAACTCTCTGAACACTGGGAAGAATTCACACCAAAAACGATCAACGAAATCAGAGCATGGAGGATAAAAATAATAACTAAAAGAAGCAGCAAGGAAAAGGGACATTTCACCAGTCTACTGATACAAATACACTTAATCTAACCCACAGGAAGGAAAAATAATGTTGTTCCTTTATGACTCTCTAATTCTCAGCTGAAAGTTGCCTCAGGAGACAGATATTTCAGCGTATTTCCACACACTACGGAAGAAAACCGGAGGATATGGAGGAATTAAACAGTCCCACCCACACTCTGTAATGCCAAAAACATATCCTGGAAAATCATCTACGACAGAATAGCTCATTCTTTCTCCACGCCGTGCAAACAGAATCCCTGTGGAAGCCTTGGCTATGCTGGATTCTGCTCAGTGTCCAGGTGCGGCTCTGAAATCCAACCCCAGAGACCAAAGGACCACCAGAAACACTCCCTCTCTTGCTGACTAGTAGCTATCTTTCCAGGAAAAATGGATCATATCCTAAGAGTCATGATCTGACAAGAAATGCAAACCTACACAAAAAAAAAAAAAAAAAGAGAAAAGAAAAAAAAATCCCCAACACCCCACAACCTTCTAAAGTTGGTTTCTGTAGAAAAAGCAAAAAAATGTGCAGGATCTGCACTTTTTCCAGCGGGCCCCACATGTTTCCTGCAGAACTGATCCGACGGGATTGTTTCCTGTGCAAGCAGCCTCCGGCTCTCTCCAGGTTAAACTCTTACCCCCAGGTTTGGGAGCACGGCCTGACTTTTCCATCCCCACCGGGATGGACGCCTGACCTGCACCACCATGGACCAGCATCAGTCCAGAGTGGCTCATCATCCCATGTGTGCTCAGCATCATCCCTCAAATGTTTGGCAGAGCATCTGACAGTGTTTTGTTATATTATGTTATTATATTATAGCAGAACACACACTGGCGTTTCTTGTCTTTGCCCCAGCAACGAAACACCAAGTCCTGTATCTGGAGATACTGCTGCCTCCGTATTCCATCTCCTTAATTGGCTTCCACACAACTTCCTCCCTACGAGGGTGATGGACTGGATTTCCCGGAGAAGCCGTGGCTGCCCCATCCCTGGAAGTGCCCACACCAGGTTGGACAAGGCTTGCAGCAACCGGGTCTAGTGGAAGGTGCCCCTGCCCGTGGCAGCAGAAGATAAACGTCAAGACCCCTTCCAACACAAACCATTCCAAGACACTACGGCGACACAGAGCCCCGGCACACGGACGCCACTCCTTCCCCGTCCAGACCCGCACCTACCCCCGCAACATCGCTGGGTCCCGCTGCTGCTGATGCTGCTCACGGCGGAGGCGCGCCCGCCAGAGCCCCCATGGCCGGGGCAGCCGCACCGGGAGCCCGCGGGAGAAGCCGGAGCTGTGTCCGGAGGAGAAGCCGGAGCCAGAAGCGGAGACGCGCTCGGAGAAGCCGCAGCCGGAGCCGTGCCCGGAGGGACCCGAACCGGAGTCTCCGGCGGATCCGTGCCCGGAGGAGCCGCAGCCGAGCCAGGAGGGATCAGAAGCGGAGGCTCCGGCGGAGCCGAGCCCGGAGGAGCCAGAAGCGGACCGGTTCCCGCAGGCTCCGGAGCCGATCCCGAGCGGCCGCGGCCCCGCCGCCCACGTGATGCGGGCGCGGCTGCGCCCTGAGCGCCGCCGGGCCGAGGGATCCCTGCGGAGCGGCGCGGCGGGACGGGCTGAGCTCCGGGCTAGCGGCGTTTGTCACCCATCCACTCACCGCGGGGCAGCGAGGGGTGCAAGGAAATGGCCGGCAGCCGCCCCTCCGCTCCGCTCTTCGTCCCCCGCTCGGAATCGCTCCTGGCTTCCTCCGCCTCCTTCCCGACAGCGGGATGGGGAATGGGGGCTGCTGTCTCTGCTGCTCCTTCTTCCTCAAGAGGAGGATGCCTCACACTCCGCCCCTGCTACAGCCTGGGGTTCCTCCCACAGGAGAAGTCCTCCTTCTCCAAGGAGCTCTTCATGCACTGCCCCAGCGTGGGTCCCTTCCACAGGGTCAGGAACAGGCAGCTCCACTCTCTCCACATGTCCTGCCAGGACCCTGCTCCAGCACAGGCTCCCTGCGGGGCCACAGCCTCCTTCGGGCATGCCTCTGCTCCAGGGTGGGCTCCTCCACGGGCTGCAGGTGGATCTCTGCTTCCCTGTAGCCCCCACTACCACAACGGTGCCACACAAAGCCACTACAGAGAGGAAACCTGGGATGTAAACGCAGGGAGGTGGAAGGATGGGGGAAAATCAGCTGCTGATTGTCCAGGATTTTTATACTTCAAGGGGAGCATTGGGCTCACAACCCAACAGCCAAATCACTCCTGCTGTCACTCCTGTTCCACAGCGGAACCCACTGCCACCTGTGGATTGACAGCACTGAAATTTTGAACCAAAAACTGCTGCTGCCCTCAGAGGACATTTCCCATCACATCCTACCTTGCCATTGCCCTGGGCTTCCCTCCAGGCAGCCGTTCTCCTTTGGAGCCTTCACACACAGTGACAGCTCCCTCCCTGCTCTCAGCCTGTCCATCTTCTGCCACTGGGACAGACCCAACACCGGAGGCAGGAGAGTCAGACATGGTGATCCTGGTGTCCACTGCAGGATTTTTCTGTGGATACCACACAGGGAGCAATTCTCTGTCCCAGCATCTCCTGGGTATCTGTGTCACCTCCAGCCCTGCCCTGCCTCATGGCTGGGATCCACAGGGACAGCACAGGCCAAGCCCATGCTCTGAAGTCTGGGAACGGAGTGTCCGGGGTGTTTGTGTCTCTGGCTGCAACCTTTGCTATCTTCAGAGAACTTTTGGGAGGAGGGGAAAGATCTTCAGCTCTGCAAAGCAGCAACAGATGTAATTAGTCTTTGTAATTATTAACTCCCAAGGCTTGGCCAGCAGCAACAGAGGGTCCTTGGATTAGAAAGGTAGAAGTGCTTCCAGGAGCCAACAAAGGCAGGAAGGATGAGAACTGATAGTGCTGGCAGGAAGCTTTGAGGTGGATGTGCTGAACCCCAGCAACTTGAAAAAGTAACTTGTCATAGGGGAGAGAGTACTCCCCTCTTCTTCCCAGAAGAGAAGCAGAAAAGGAAAGGAAAAAGGGGAAAGTGGAAATACAAGGAAGGGAAATGATGAAGAAGAAAAGGGGGAGAAGAAAAAGAAAACCAGAGAGAGGCTGGGAAGGGAAGGAAGAGCAGGCATTATCTTTGAGTTTGGAAAGCAGAATCTGACTTGCTGACACCCCTTACCCAGCAAACTCAAACCAGATGGTATTGGCATGGAAAGGAGAACAAATGGCCTGAAACTCCAGGCTCCCTCCAGCCCCTCCTGGCTGGCTCCTTGGCTGTGCCACATGTTTGCTCAGCTGGCTGCAAGGGCTGCAGCAAGGCTCCTCTGGGGTCTCTGATTTCCAGCACCAGCATGTTTGATCCTCCCTTTGGCACCTAATCCCCACGACAATTCCTAAGGCAAGGGACCTCACCAAGGACCCTTCCCTCATTTTCATGCTGTATGCACTGAACTGTGCAACATCAGAGGCAAAGTGAGAGATTTGTCACCATCCAAGCCCCTAAAAGCAAAATGCACTTGGGTCAGATGGAGCTTGGCACAGGGCAGCAAGAACTAGTGAGGAATTCTGCAGCAAAAGGGGAACAAGCCTGGGGGTCCTCACAAAAGCACTGCAGGGTCACTGCATCCTCTTCAAACACTTCTGGCCAGCTCAAACCTCTGAATCCTCTAAATCCTGTCCATGGAAAACAGCATCTCCCCAGACACTTCCCAGTTCAAATTTTTTTTTAAAATTACATCAGATTTCAAGGAAGCATGTAGTTTGGAGAGACACCTCTGATGCCAGCTGCCTCCGTGTCTATCCCAGCACTGAAATTGGAGAAGGGAAAGGGATTTCACCAAGCTTTGGGACCCGCTGTCCCTAAAAACACTTACTGTTCTCTGGGAGAGAGCAAGGAGAGCACTGTGCCTTTCCCAGGAGCCAGCTGCTGCTAACTCAGCATTGAGAGTGGCCCTTTGGCATTCCCAAAGCAGGGATTCAGCTCCCAGCACAGCGATTCAATCTCTACATCTTTAGCATGGAGAAAATGAGGATGATTCCAGGGCTCTGAGGCTGAAGATGGATGTCAGCACCTCTTTGCTTCCTGCTCTGCTGAGCAAGGCAGGCTTTCAGACCATCTTCCTCCTCAGGGTCTGAGGCCACAGGAGATGTCGAAAGAGATCCAAGCAGCTCTGCCACGCTGGTAGCCCTTCAGTTATTTACTTTAATATTAAATTCCACACATATTTCCTGTTGTCCCAAGGGCAGCTGCGGAGCTCACGAGCTGCCAGCAGAGCTGCTCTCAGAGGAGGGCAGCAGAGGCCCCCAGATGCCAGCACATCCCTCCACAAACAGCAGGACACTCAGGGGGTTGTTGTTCCACGTCCCCAGGAGCAGCCAAACTGCACCAAACAGCTGCAGCAAATATCTCACCTGAAGCATTTTGGTCTCCTGCTGTGTGTGGGGATGAGGGTTCAGACCCTAAGACCCTCAAGATCTAGCTCAGCCTGCCTGTTCAGCAATTCCAGCCCTGGAAGTAGACCACATTCCCTTCAGAGAGGGTCCCTCTGCTCCCATGTGCCTTCACAGAGCACTGATCCACATTTTAAACTATGCTCTCCCTGCCACTGGCAGCAATTCCCAGGACTGCACCAGAAATCCCACATCAGGCAGATGCCAGGCAGCACCTGGCTCCAGAGGAGCAGTGAAACAGCCCACCCCTCTTGTCAAGGATCAGTCACAGGAAAGAGAAAACTACAACTGGGACAAACTGATCCCAACTACTGATGTTAAGTGAGTGTCAAAGACAAAGTGCAGGAGAAAGTTGGTTATTAGAGGAGCTGCTCTCACCTGCAAGGATGAGACCTGTGCTCCCTCTCCACAGTGTCCCACAGCTGCCTAAACGATGGAAGACCAGTGCATTAAGAAAAGATTTTGATTCAGAGCCTCATGGAAGGGGAATGTCCTTAAAACCCGAGCAGAAGCATTGAGGAGGTGGTAGAAGGGAAGGACGGTCACAATTGGGAAGGAGCAGAAAAGGGACTAAGGACCCTGGGAAGACAGAGGGAAGGAGTTCCCTGGCCTGGTGGAAGTTTGAGGGCAAGGCAAGGACCAGTGTTTCCCAGAATATCGTGCAAGGAAGCACAGTGACAGCTCTCAAGCAGTGCTGGAAAAGCAGGAGCAAAAGAAAGGGAACACATGGAAAGAGTCTTGGAGAACCAGTGGCAGAGTGGAAATCCTCTGCATCCAAACCACAGCTGGAAGAGGTGGCAAACTCATCCAGGGACAGTGAGAGATGACAGGGAAATGTCCTGTGAGAGCCAAGCAGAGCATGGACCAGGTGTTTCACTGACCTAGGGAAGAGAGGGCAGCCCCCAAGCACACCGTGTTTTACAGCCTTGGTGGAAAATTCCAGCCCTGCATAATCTCCTGGGGTTCCTGTAAGATTGTGACATGGAGAGAGGGACCAAACAGGAAAGAATTAGAGGAAAAATGCCTCTCTTCTGGCAGCCACCATGGCTGTGCCAGGAGTTAGGAGCAGCAGAGCAGCCAGCCCTGCCTCCCCCTCCTCCGGCCGCCTCTATAAACACGCAGGGCTTACTCAGAAGATTAGGAGGGAACAGGGCAAAAGACAACAGAGTCTCTTTTGTAATGAGGAGGGATTACAGCATCAAGTGACCGGCTGCAGCTCCCAAGTGGGTCTCAGGCTCCTTAGCACACTGTGTGGGGCAGGTCCAATCCCCCTATGAGCCAAGGGGGCACGAGGATGCGGGCGGTGGCCCGGGCCACAAAGGACCCAGCGGGGACACGTGCAGGACCAAACCTCCCCAGCCTCCAGCACGGCTCAGGAGCCCATGACTGTGAGTATCTGGTCCCCCTAATAGCAGCAGGAGGATCAGTCTCTCCTGCAGAGATCCATCTTTCTGCCTATCTGTGACTTCCTCTGGCTCCATCCCTCTGCTCTGTCTGCTCGTTGTCTGTCTTTGCAATACCTGCTAGGGTCTGTTTGTGGTGGGTGATGCACCTGATGTCCCAGAATCTTGCTTGCTGTGGGTTCCCACAACTGAATTCCAGGTCAGTCGACTTCCAGGTGTGTTGGTTAGTCCAGTGGGATGAGCAGGGGATGCAGGCAGTGACAGGCAGCAGCTCCCTGGGTGGGCTCTTCCTGCCCATCCTGACTCCGGCGTCCCAGTGAGCCACCTCCCACCACAGACCTCAGCCACTAATGGAATGTGCCAGCTGCCCAGTGACACCCCAGGGCTGCTCAGCACAGGCTGGCAGGTGGGCAGGGAGGTGCCTTACCCATTCAGGGCTGGAGGGAAAAGCACTGGGAAAAGCCCCATATCCCCACACAGGAGCAGAACAGAGTAGAGGTGGGCAACATCCGTTATTTACATGGCCTAGAGCTGGAGTTTTCCTTCTTTGGTAAAAAAGGGAATCTGTATTTGAATTACGCAACAAAGAATCTCCCTGAGCGCTTTCGAGCCCTAAAGCCCAGAGAAAAGATGCAGCTTTGTGTAAGGGGCCCCAAAAATGTATGGGGTTTTGGGCAAGCTTTTCTCTTGTGGGCAGCCTGTGGGTTCAACCTCTGGGGCTGTTAAAACCTACTCCTCCAAGTTCTGTACCCAGAAGTCCATATGTAATGGACAGGAGGATTTACTGAAATGGGCATTTGTGCAGCTGGGGACAGGGACAGCTCTGCTCCTCTGTATCACCCTTAAGAGGGGACTCAGGGACCTAAGTTACGACAGGAAAACCCAAAGGAGGAGCAGCACCTAAAAGACAAACCTAGGACAAAGGTGTTGCTTGGTTGAAATAGCCAAAAATCCAGACTTTTCTGGTTTTCTTCACAGCAGCAGCTCACTGGGACCTGAGTTGTCCCCATCTAAATCTCAGTCTTTCACTGGGATGCTTAAATGAGAAACAAATGAGGAAAGTGGGCCCAAACTTACCTGCCTTCAGCTGCTTCAGGGTGTGGCCTGTCCCTTGAAGTGCTTCTTCATCCCCATCATTCAGGGAAGAGCCCAAGGCCCCATAATCAATTAAAGTTATTACCTCTGTTAAATAGCAATGCCTGGTGACATGTTAGGATTCAGAAATACCAATAGTTCACACTGGATAATTATTTCTAATCCAAGAAATCATTCACCAATCTGCCTGGCATAGATAACACTGGTGTCTTGTTGTTTGTTGGGGTGTTTTTAAAATAAAGTCAGGTTTATGCAACCATGACTCTGATTATTAATTGATTAGAAAGAATTATTTATGCAAGTTAGACTAGAAGTGAAATGGGGATGCTGCATGTCTGGGGAGCATTTCAGGAGCCTGAATGCCTATTTTTCAGCCACTGTGATTTATTGTGTGACATATGGTTGAAGGAGAAGGGAGGTGGAGCTGCTGGAATTTGGGCCCTGTGAGCCTGGCCAAACTCCATCCCATAGATCTCCAACAGGGAAGGCTGCTCTGCCTACATGACTAGGACCAGCAGAGTGCACACAGCTATCCTTGCTGGGATGCCTTCATCTGGATCAGTTCCAAGAAATCTTTCTGGGGTTTTTCCTTTCCTTTGGGTTGGGGTTTTTTTTGGGTTTTTTTTCCCCAGCAGTATTTCAGGAAGATGTTTCCCAGCAAATAGGTTTACAGAAACATATTTGGAACAAAAAACATATTAAGAAAATTACTGGGCTAAGCATAAACTTTGCAGTTTGTGACCCTGAGATTAATCTTACCACAAGTGTTTTGTCAAAGGGGGTGGCACATGGGCTTTGTCCTCTTCAACCAACTAGCCCAACCTGAATGCTGACAAAAATCAAATACTAAAAACAGAGGGATCCACCAGAAAATACATTCTCGGTCACTATAACCAGACCAAAGACAGAGAAAAGATGGCAAACTCATCAACTTAATTGCCTGCTGTCAATTTCCTCCTGGTTTTCTGTGCTGCTGCCTACATCTTACCCAGCTTTTGATCTCAGCTTATTCTGTTTTCTCCTTCCTTCCCATCTTCCTTGGTGGGACACCTGGGATGTCCCTGTGTCTCCTCCTGCTCAAGCTCCAAGTCCCGCTTGTCATGTGCCTGCACAGGAGCTGTGATGACAGTGACCTACACCAACCGCGTGGCAGATGCCCGCCTGGGCACCTTCTCCCAGCTCCTGCTCCAGTGGAAGGGCAGCATCTACAAACTGCTCTACTCCGAGTTCCTGATCTTCATCTCTCTCTACTTCACCATCAGCCTTGTCTACAGGTGAGCAACTTCACACCCACAGCCTGGCCTGGGGCAGGACACAGGAGAAACACAGGATTGGGGCAGGGATCCTGCTGGGCAGGCACTTGCCAGACTCTGTTCACAGGAGGGAAGGAGAGGGGAGAGAGAAGGAATAGGAAGAACCGCTTCTGTTTGTCCGTTTTAGGCTGATCCTGAGTGAGAGCCAAAGGCTGATGTTTGAGAAGCTGGCGCTGTACTGCAACAGCTACGCTGAGCTAATCCCCGTGTCCTTCGTGCTGGGTAAGGAGCTGCCTGGAATCCAGCAGGGAGGGGAATGGGACAGCATTTCTTCTCCTTGGTTCGGCAGAGCTCAGCTGGCAGAGCAGGTCCCTCCCTCTGCCTTTGTAAAACTCCTCAAGTGGGATATATCCTTTATTGGCACAGCTGTGAGTGTCCCCAGCACAGGAGAGCAAGCTCCAAGTGGCACCAGATATGCCCAGGGGATTTGTGGCTGCCTCATCCCTGGAAGTTTTCAAGGCCACACTGGGTAGAGCTCTGAGCAACCTGGTCCAGTGGAAGATGTCCCTGTCCAGAGCAGGAGGTTGGAATGAGATCATCTTTAAGGTTGCTTCATAGAATCAGAACAGTTTAGGTTGGAAGTATGAAATCCAGCCTCCTTTTAGCATGGAGGACTGAATTCCCCTCCAGACATTCCTGCACCCATCCCGTGTGAGCAGGACAAGAGAAGGAGATCAGACAGAGTGGGAGGAAGAAGCTCTTTTCAGATGCCTGACTCTCTCAGCTCCCCTCTAGGTTTCTACGTGGCCCTGGTGGTGTCCCGCTGGTGGGCCCAGTACGAGAGCATCCCATGGCCAGACCGGATCATGAACCTGGTGTCCTGCAATGTGGATGGGGAGGACGAGTACGGGAGGCTCCTGCGCCGCACCCTGATGCGCTACAGCAACCTGGTCAGCGTGCTGATCCTGCGCTCCGTCAGCACCGCCGTCTACAAGCGCTTCCCCAGCATGGAGCACGTCGTGAGGGCAGGTCACCACTGCTCCTTGCTGCTCCTCTAGGGGCAGGGGGTCCTGGGAAAGGTTCTTTGGAAATGGGGTGGTGCTGTTCCCTCAGGGCAGGTGGGAATTCGAGCCCCAAGTCTCTGAGCTTAATTGCTGGGCACACTGCATCTTCTGGGGAGATGCTCCTCAAGGTGCAGCAGAGTTCCCAGTCTGCCCACATTGTCTGGGTTCCTTCGGCAATCCACAGAGATGTGATGTTGCTGGCCTCTTAAAAAGAAAAGGCACTTCAGGGACACAAATGATCCCATTCTCAGCAAGTATCTATGGACACCAGGCAGCTGCACCCTCAGCAATGTTTTATCTCCCTGATGGCTCTGATCTGATGTGCTGCAGACATCCAAAGTGAAATCCCATTATCCCACCTCCATGACTCAATGTTTTAACAAGGAGACTTGTCCTTCTGCATGTCTTCCCAAATTCTGAGTCTTTCCTGGGATTTTTAGGGAGGGCCGAGGCATCCAACTGAGATTCTTTCATTTCAGACCAGATCAGTTCTTTCTGCCTTCTATGTCCATCCCCCTCCCAGCTGCTCTTTTCCATCTAGGCCTCATGACACCAGAAGAGCACAAGAAGTTTGAGAGCTTGAATTCCCCCCACAACAAGTTTTGGATCCCGTGTGTGTGGTTCTCCAACCTGGCTGTGAAGGCCAGGAATGACGGCAGGATCCGGGACAGCGTGCTGCTCCAAGGCATCCTGAATGTGAGTGACAGAGGGGACAGGCAGGTCTTTGAGATCCTGGGGAACGGGAGGCACCTATGAAACAGGTCCTTGACACATTCCAGAACAGCCAGTGCCCGTGGAGGTTTCTAGGATCCAGATGGAAAGCTACAAGGAAGAATATATCTGGAAGTCTAGGAGAGGTCAAAAACATCCTCAGCAACTGAGGTCCTGTAGAAAACATGGCTATTAAAAACTCTTAGACAGTTTTGGGCAACAGGCCATGCTCCACAGGCAAGACCTGGCAACAATCCCTGCCCAGCTGCACAGAAAAAGGCTCTGGAGCAGCTCCTCCTTCTGGGTAGTCATGTGCAGAGAAAGTCATGTGGTGTCTGTTCCCTGGAGCAGCATTCATCTCCCCAGAGACAGAGAAACCTCCCTCTGGGATATTTATCTACAGACAGGAGAGAGAAATGGATGCTCCTGAGGGTATTCTTGGCCTCACCTGTTGGCTGCTCATTTTGTGAGGAGGAACTCTGCTGTGAAGTGAGCCAGGAAGGGGTCTTGGGCTCAGGGGGAGACACTCAGGCAGCAGGGAATTCCTCCAAGGCTGAGACTGAGACCCCCTTCCAGAGAAGGTATAAGCAGAAGGGAAAGGGCTGGAGCAATGCAGAACAGTGGTGCTGTAGAGGCTCTGCAAGGAGATGGGAAGTTATCCTCACATGCCATTCCCTTTTCCCTGCTGCAGGAGCTCAACACCTTGCGCAGCCAGTGTGGGAAACTCTATGGATATGACTGGATCAGCATCCCTCTGGTCTACACCCAGGTGAGAAGGGAATCTCCCTGCTCCACCACTGCCCGTGCACATCCCCACTTACACCCACACCTGGAATGGTCTGGGCTGGAAGGGACCATAAAGCTCATCCAGGGACACCTTCCACTATCCCAGCTTGCTCCAAGCCCTGTCCAACCTGGCCTTGGGTGCACCCAGGACTGGGGCAGCCACAGCTTCTCTGGAAAACCTATGCCAGGGACTCACACCTTCTTAGTAAAGAATTCCTTCCTCATATCTAATCTAAACCTGCCCTCTATCAGTTTAAAACCATTGTTCCTTGTGCTATCACTATCTGCCTGTGTAAAAAGTGCCTGTGCCTCTCCTTCCTTTCCATAAGCCCCTGTAAGGCACTGGAAGGCCACAGCCTCCCCAAAAGCTCATCTGCAGGCTGAACAACCCCAGCTCTCTCAGCCTATCTTTGTAGAAGTGCTTCATACCTGACCCACTGTGAAAAATGCAGGTTACTCTTGAATCCCTCACCCCCACCTGCACACATCATCTCTCTTCCACTGGTACCTCAGCACACACCCAGCCCAGCCTGCTTTCCCTAACTCAGACACATCCATCTCTCCAGAAACAACCTCTATCCAGGGCTAACAAATCCACACAGACCTATGGAAAACACAGGAACACACAGACACACTCCCTGCACCACCTTGCAGGGATCACATCCCGGGAAGGTTGTGCCAGGCGTGTACTCAGCTGTTTATCAGCCCAGGCAGACACTTTGGCACCACCTTGCTCCTTTGTCTCCTACAATCCAGCTGCTCAGATAACAGGGATGCCCTTCACCACGAAATAGGAGCCGTTGTTGCTGCTCTGGCAGTGCCAGAGGTTAGTGGGGAACATGTAAAGCGTATTCCTGTTTTGAACCCCCTTGTTTTTATCAAGGGACCACGTGACATTCTTGGTTACTTTTAACTTGAAAAGGGGAAGTTTCCAGTCCTGTGGTGACAGGAAAAAGCACAAAGCTCAGCATAGCCTGAAATCCAGGCAGGAAAATATTAATAAAAGCTCAGCATGAGGAGAAGGAAGGAGCAAATAGAAGTGCCAAGGTTCTCTTCCCAGACTTGGAAGCAGCCTGCCAGCATGGACTGAGCCATGAGACAGCTTCCAACCCATCCAGGATGTCATGTGCTTGCTGCCACTGGCCTGTGACACCTGCACAGATATCATTTCAGGGACAGCACACAGTGTACATAAAAGCTGCAGGGAAAAGGGAATGCCTGTAGCTTTCTGCAGGGAAATGCATCCTCCTGCAAAAAGCCTGTCAGAACTGAATCCAAGGCTTCCCAGAGGCTACAGAGCTTGGCTTTGGAATTGTGTGGGGTGGAACTGAAGGGAGATGCGGGGAACTCACGCTGCCCTGGTGTGTCCCTTGGCATTCTTCCCAGGTGGTGACTGTGGCCGTTTACAGCTTCTTCCTGGCCTGTCTGATTGGGAGGCAATTCCTGGATCCAGAGAAAGCATACCCAGGCCATGAGCTGGATCTCTTTGTGCCCGTCTTTACATTTTTGCAATTCTTCTTCTATGCTGGCTGGTTAAAGGTAAGTCCAAGAAAACATGCTGGAGTTGGAATCTGACCCAGCCAAGGGTTTTTCCCAGTGTGAGATCATCAGGAACCCTGCTGTGTTCTTTGATCTATGGGCAATAACAGGAAGCCAAGAGGGGCTGAGGAAGTGCCAGGACTTTCTAATTTTCCAACTGCCTCGTTCTGGACACCAGCTGCACTTTTCCTAGGCTTTGGTCCTTACTAGAGGGGAAAAAAGGAGCTCCTTAAGTTGCAGGAGGGTTGTGTGAGCTGGGGGGAGTTATTATAAATTCCAGTGTCTCCCAGCCCCTGGGATGCTTCCACTTTTAACACACCCCCTTTTGGGAAGAAAAACATGGCTTGGAATTCAAGGGACATCACACCTGACTTCTCCCTGCATGGAAAAGGGCAGGGATGACAATGGTGACTTTGCTGTCTGCTCTCCACATGCAGGTGGCTGAGCAGCTCATCAACCCTTTTGGGGAGGACGACGATGACTTTGAAGCCAACTGGCTCATTGACAGAAACCTGCAGGTAAAGGGGAGGAAGATTCACCAGGTGAGCCTCACCTGAAGAGGAACACCAAGGCAGGACAGTGACCAAGTTCCCCTGCAACACCTCTGCCTCCACCTCCCTGCCTGCAATGGGAGAGGTCCTCCCAATGCACAGCAGGGATTTTGGGGCTTCTGGCATATCTTTGTACACAGAGGCTGCCTGCAGCTTCAGTCCATGCTCTGGCACATGGGATAGATCAAGGCTGCTTGTTTCAGGACCCAGCTGCCTTGGAATGACACATCATTCCTGCCCCTCCTTTCTTACCCTGTGTCCATCTAAAACTGCCTCCTCTGCTTTCTGCCATGCAGTAACTCCACACCTTTCTGTCCTAATGAGTCTGTTGCTTTCCTGTCTCCTTCAGCACCATTTTCCTTCCAATTAATCAAATCTCTGTGAGAAACAACCCAAATGACAGGAAACCACAGCAACCCCAGCCACTTGCCTGGCTTCCGCGCTGCACCGCTTCCTCCAGCTCCGTGTTCCTTTGTCCCTCGATAACAGGCACACAAAATGCTCCTCACCCCATGTGACATTCCTGCTGTCCCCCACAGGTCTCCCTCATGGCAGTGGATGAGATGCACCAGGATTTACCCATTCTGGAGAAGGACCTCTACTGGAACGAGCCCGATCCCCAGCCACCCTACACCGCAGCCACTGCTGAGTATAAGCGCCCATCCTTCCTGGGCTCCACTTTTGACATCAGGTGAGTGCAGGGACAAAGTGTCACAACACCTAGATCAGGTTTTATTGGGACATTACACTTGAGGAGCTTTTAGGCTCACCCACGACAGCCAACATTCTCCATGGAAAAGGATAAATCTAACCTCTTTTCCTCACTCACCTGTATGATGAGCATCCCTGTTTTGGGGGGCTAATGGCAATACAGGGAGAGGCTTGCCACTGGCAGCAGCATTCCCAGGAGATCCCTCCCCTCCCCCTGTGGCTGTGTAACAGTCCACTTTGCCTTTCCCAGCATGCAGAAGGAAGAGATGGAGTTCCAGCCCCTGGAGCAGATTAAAGAGAACGAGGAGGCCAACCACTCCACTCCCTTGCTGGGACACCTGGGCCGCCTCCTGGGTGTCCAGTCCCCAAACTTCTCCAGGTCCTCTTCCCGGATGAACCTGCTGCGCCGGCGAGGAGATCCCGCGTCGCCCTTCTCCCATTATACCTACCAGGACATGGGGAAGGTCGGAAGTCCTTGTGGCATCAATCAGCCAAGAGGAGACTCCCAGGAGCAGTGGGACAGCGAAGAGGGAAAACTAAGGGAGTTTGACGCTTTCATGTCCACCCCCTTTTACGAGAGGCCTGGGTTCTACAGCGCTCCGCAGACGCCCATCAGCTCCATCCCCATGATTTTCCCTTCCCGGCGCCAAGGGCGCAAGAAGCCACCGGCACTCTCCAGCATCGCTGCGTGCTCCACTTCCCTTCGGGATGTCATTGTCAACGCCTCCCCTTCGAGGGCCAGTGATGTGGACAAGAGCCAGAGCTCCCTGGGCTCTGCTGCAAAGGAAACCTTTGTTTGGCCAACAGAGCGGAGCAAAGGTCCTGACTCCGTGGCTGTGACAGTAGAAGAAGGAAAGAGCAGCTCCAGGGAAGCAGCCACCACGGGAAGTCCAGGAGCACAGTCCACAGCGTCCAACAGCCCCAAATTCCCCTTCCTACCAGAGACCCCTGAGCATGAGAAACACAGCAGCTTCAAAAGCCTGAAGAGCTCCAAAGCCTCACGCCCACCCTGGCTAAACCTGGAGAGCACGGCCTCAGCCACTCCCAGTTCTGAGCATTCCAGTGCCTTTCACACCCCCAGTAACAAAACCCCCGGAGGCAGCACCTCCCTCTGCTTCTCCTTCACTCCTGTCACCTCTCCAGCCCTGGAAAGGTCCCACAAAGGCAACCTGGGCCCTGAGGCTTGCAGCCTCAGTTTGGAAGATGCAGCCAGTGCTCCAGAGCAGCACCCAGAGGTTTCCAGGAACATGAGAGACACTGGGAATGGAAACACCAACCCCTCAGCTCCTAAAGAGCCCAGGAGAGCAGAAAGTCCATCCCCCAATGACTCTGGAATCTCCCTAGCTGAGGGTGACTACGTGGGGCTGATGGAGGTGATCCTGGAGGCCAGTGAAAGCCCAGGGGAGGAGCAGATAGACCAGTATAGCTAAAGGGGAATCCATGGGATACCTGCCTTATCTTGGCACTCACCCAAACAGAGGTGCTGGACATGCAGCTGGAGCTCAGCTTGGGCTGAAACCAGCACTAAGGACACACTGCTCCTGGCCTCAGCTACAGCAGCAGCATGAGACACAACTCATGTTGCAACAGGAACAGAAGCACCCAAAAAACCCGACCTGTAGCAGAAGAACAAGACTTTGAGTGTTAAATATTGCAGGTAGCAGCCTGACCAGCCAGGTGCACCCCAGAACAGGAGCAGAGTTCATGTGGATACCTCCCTACTCCTCACAGCAAGAATGAGAACTTGAGTCCTTTCTCAAGCAGGACTTGCACTCCTACCAAGATAGTCCAGGGAACAGTAAGGGACTGAAGAACGTCCCATCACTTGTGATGCAGACCCACAGTGTTTCTTCCAGTCCTGTCTGGCTAGTGTTTTCCAGTACTGGGATAAGGCAAGGTAAGGGCTTGCCAGCACAGGCATCTGCCCAGCACACTGCTTCCTTCTGAAGTTCTGCATCTCCCACCAGGAATTTGACAGTGCTCAGAGAAAGCTGGATGGCAGCAGACATCACTCAGCTGATTTTTACTGCCCACCCTCAGAAAATAAAAAGCAAGGCTCAAGCCCAGGACCTTGGTTTCATTTCCTCATTTTAGTTCCCTGCAAGAAATTTAAAGAAACAAAAGAGGTTTTCCTACTTCTGCCTTCAGCAGCAGCTGCAAATCCCCCATGTCACACAACAAATTTACCTCCCACTGCCTTCACTACAGCTGCCTACTCTCCCTCCAAACTAAACAGGAAAAGCCAGCTGGAACCAAGTCACTTTATTGGCTGGAGGGCAGTACATAAAACATGAACAGAACAGGGGATATTTGGTACAGAGTATGGAACTGTTTATCTAGGTAGCTGAAGCTGCATGCACGGCTGGACAGTAAGAAGGAGTCCCAGTGAAACCCACAGCATGGCTCTTGGCAAGGCTTCAGCTGTGACACTCCCCGAGGGTGTGCTTGTCGAAGAGATACTCTGCCATGCCGTATTTGGGGGCCCCCATCTTGCGCAGGTTGGTCACGTGGTCACCCAGCTCCTTGATGGCTTTCACCTGCTCATCCAGGTAATGGGTCTCAATGAAGTCACACAACTGAAAGGGAGACCAGAGGTTTGAATTCAGGCCCGAAACCCTACTGAGCCTCTCTAAGGAAAGGAGAGGATGCAGAATTTTCAAGCTGAGAGGAAGCAGCCTCTAGTTTTATTGCAGAACAAGATCAAAGTGAGCCAGGCTTAGGTAGGCTCACTTGCTCCAGAACCCTGCAGAGCCAGGCAGCTCAGGAAGCCTCTCCTCTTCCTCACGGCAGGAAGCATTAGCCAAGCTCCTGAGCAGATCTGAGACACCCTCAGTGCACAGCAAACTCACAGCAGTGAGGATTCACACCACTGGTTTTGTTTCAAGAATTCCTTCTAACTTAGGCAGGACACTCCAAAGAGTGCTTGGATCCCACATGTATTAATCTCTTCCTGATATTAAGTAACCCCAATCCAGCCTTACCAAACCTTCCATCTGAAAAGAACTGTGTTTACAGACACTGTTCTGAAACACCAGAGCTTTTAATATTCCAAAGCAACTCTGGAATTTTGTGGCGAAAAAACCCTCATGACAAAAAGCCTTAAAAAGATGGAACTCAACCCCCTCAGAAATGGTCTCCATAGAGACTGCTCACAGACACTTCAGGGGGAATAAAGCAAGTCCCTGTCACTAAATGCTTCTAGAAGGACAGCAATAACCCCAGCAAACTCCTGGCTCACAGCTTTTACAACACCAGGGACACAGCTCAGCCCCAAAGCCACATGGTTACAAGACACACCCTTGGGTCAGCATGCACTTACGTGTGGGTCGTTCTTTTCGGTTGCCAATTTGTGCAGCTCTAGCAGTGATTGGTTCACGTTTTTCTCCAGGTGCAGGGCACACTCCATGGCAGTCAGGCCATTCTCCCAGTCATCACGGTCTGGCTTCTGAAAGGGGAAAGCACAGGACATGTTTTCTGTAAGAACCCACAGACCAGCAGGGTGGAGAACCTTTAGATCACACACAAAGCCTAAACCAAGTTTAGGCATTTATGCAAAGTCAAAAGTTTGAAGTGCACCCTCAGAACAGAACTGAGCAAACCATTAAGTCCCACTTCTCAAAACAGTGCACAGAGCACATCTGCTCTCTGTTAAGTTTAATGATGGTGATGAACCATTTGCCTTCTGGCTCTGCCCTCACCCCACAGCAAACAACCCGGGGCTCAGCACCCTCTCCTTACACAAGCAGCACTTTTTTATTAGCCAATCAGCACAAATAATCCAACTGCTCCACATGTCAAATCACTGTGCCTCTCCAGAGCCAGCTGCTGCTCCTTCTGGGGAGGAGCCAGAGGAAAATTCATCCCCTTCCAGCTGAAGGCAGCCCCCAGCTCACCTTGACATCCTGCAGGAAGATGCGCCCGCCTCTCTGGTTCTGCAGCTTCATCAGCTTCTCAGCGTGCTCCCGCTCCTCGTGGGACTGATGCAGGAAGTACTTGGCAAAGTTTTTCAGAGCCACATCATCCCGGTCAAAGTAGTAGGACTGAAAAATAAAAAAAGAGTTCACAGGCTCTAAACCTCTGCTTCAGGATGGCTGCAGTCCAAGCCCAGGCCAGAAAGGCAGTGTGGAACAATTCTCCTCTTAGTATAATTTGATTTTTCCAGCTAGGATTAAATTTTAACCTGCACCCCTACCAAGGGCACAAATAAAATGGTGTTTGTGTCCTTGACTCAGTTCTAAAAACACAAAACCAAAAAAAACTGAAACCCCACTGATATCTGTTCTGAGCACCATTAAACTGCAGCCTTGAAAGGCCTTTTCCAAGGAGAAATCTTTCCTTTGTTTGCCCGAGCTTGTTTACAATGACGACATAGCAAGTCAGGGTCATGACTTGCAACATCACGTAAAGGTGAGCCAAGAACTTTTAGGTACTCCTGCAATAAAGCTGTCTTGCTCCACTGGGCTTTCCAGGGATTAGACTAAGGAAAGCACTTTCTACTTTTCTGTGGGGAAAAAAAGTGACATTTAAAATACAAGAGATAAACTGAACTACAATATGAATTTAAAAGCAACTAAAATATGAATTAAGCTACTTTTCTGAAAGCAAAAAAAAACCCTGTTACTGCAGTTAGAAGCTGTGACACAGCTTGTTTATTCCTTGGTCAGAACCATTACCAGGATTCAATGGAAGTTCTGTATGAACTGCCAATTATTTACCAAGCTACTACATTACTCTCTGTTCTTAGACCAGCGGCCTGGAGGCTCGAGGCAAAGCACCGGCGCTTGTGTACCACTATCACCCACCAAGAGAAGCTCAAAACAGGGCTTAGAACCTAATTAACACAGAAAAACAGCTACAAAATACGTGCCACAACACAGCACAGTGTCCCTAGGAAGCCCCAACGTCCCAGCACGCCCAAAGCACCAGGATTGCTGCACAGAGGTCAGGGAACGGCTATAATGGGCGCCTCGGGCTAAAGGAGACATGTAAACAGAGAGCCCAAAGAAACCACGGATCTCTACCGATTCCTGGAGGAAAACCCGAGCCTGGGAGGCGAGCACGCCTGCGGGAAAGGTGCCAGGAGCCTCCTTAGGCACCTCCCGCTCCCCTGCCCGGCCCCAAGGGCAAAGGCGCTGAGCGCGGCTGATAACAGAGCCGCCAAGGGCAACGGCCGCGGGGCCGCGGAGCAGGCGAGATAAAAGGGCCTCACCTACACCCAGGGGACAGCCCAGACGGGCCTGAAGGCAGCGGGGGGGAGGAGGCGGAGAAAGAGAAAGAGGAGGAGGAGGAGCTGGGCGCGCAGGCACCGCCCAGCACCCAGGAACCCCCCGCCGAGCAAGGCCCTCGTGCAGCCCCTTTATCCCTCGCAGGACCCTTCCCTCACCCCGCCGCGCCCTCACCATGCTGAGGTACACGTAGGACGCGTAGAGCTCCAGGTTGATCTGGCGGTTGACGGCGGCCTCGCAGTCCTGGTGGTAGTTCTGGCGCACCTGAGAGGGGGGCGCTGCCATGGCTGGGCTGCTCCGGTGACTGTATACACGGCGGTGTTGGAAAGGGGTGGCGGCGGGCCCGAGCGCGGCCGGTTCCGTCCAAGCACTGTTGACGCAGGAACCCGCTTCGCTCCGCCGCCGACGCGCTGTGAGGGAAGCCCGCCCGCCGACGCGCCTTTTATACCGCGGCGCGCCAGGCCACGCCCCCACGAAGGCGCGGGGCGTCCCGGCGCCCTTCTGCTGGCCCGGCGTGACTCAGCACCCGCCCAGGCCACGCCCACGGCGGGGCGGGGCCACCCCCCCGCGCGCCGCCGCTTCCCGCCGCGCGCGCGCCGTCCATCCCGGTATGGCCCGTGTTGGGAAACCCCCTCACAAGCCTCCAAGCCCGGCCATTTCCCCTCGAGCACGCTGCCAAGCCTGCTGCCCACCCGTGCCCCGCATCCTGCATCCCTCCGGGAACGGGGGCTCCGCCGCTGCCCCGGGCCGTTGGTGCCAGTGCCTGAGCCCCCCTCGCTGTGAGAAGAAAAAGTTCCTAAAATCCAAGTTAAACCCAGAAACTGAAGGGCAAATGTCAAAAGCTGGACCTGTTGGTAATGAGATGACTATTTCAGGTGATTTTGGTGCTATCCCAGTCACTCAATGTGTGCCATCATTTATTTTCAATAAACCTCGGGTTTTTCAGTCTTTCAGTTCAGTCATTAATTTACAATAAGCACTGGAGTATTTTAGTATCTGCTTTCTTAAATTTTAACCAGATTACAAGGGAATACAAAATGCTTAAACTGAGATCATCCCCTAGCACTGAATGCCCCAATCTTGGCTTTTCCCAAGCCAACGTTCAACCCTGGCTTTTCCCAAGCTAATGTTCCTGCTGAAATCCACCAGAAATACAATTTACTGAGCCTGTAAGCTCAGAATAAATATTTTTTCCTCTGCGTACTACACCTGCAAACTCAGATTAAATATTT